CTTTCTTTCTTTTTTTTCCTGATGGAGTTTTCAAAGAAATTTCTAAGGCAGAAAAAATCTCTTAGCCACATTCATAACCTATGTCAAACTGGCTGTATGTTAGGAGTATTTCAGAATTGAGCTGCAGCTGCTAGATAACAACCAGAACAGTAGACGGACCACTCCCACCCCTGGATGGGGCACTAGGGATAGTTTTCCATAGCAATTTGACTTCACTGCTCCCCTCAATAATCTTCAGTACAATACCAAGGTGAAAGGGTGTCACATGGGCATTCTTGCTTCTGCAGCTCTAAGTCCCTGTTCACAAATAGTCTTTGAGTTCACTTGCAGCACAGTAAGGTAACTGAGACCTTAAACTGTCTAACTTTCTGGTTGCTGTCTATGGAGCTGTTGTAAATCTCCTAAAAAAAAAAAAAAAAGAATGATATCATTCTTTTGATGTTCACCAGTCTGTTGTCCATTATCTTATATTTTATCTGTCAAAAAGTTCTGGAAAGTTGTAGGACTAAGCCACAGAGCTACAAGAGAATGCTGGAGGCAAATGGATATGAAAGCATACTTTATTCCACTTGTCCCATCGTGTTCCCTAAAAGAGAACTGCATCCACCAGGGGTCCTTTTGTTTGCATGAGGGAACTACACAGGCCAGCAGCAGCATGGCTTACTCACTTGGGGTCCGATAGTCTGAGTGCATCTGATTTCACTGCAAAGGCTTGAGCTTTATACTGCCAAGGAGGAGCCTTCTCATTGAATTCTTTCCTCTCTTCAGGGTACACCATGGCAAAGAATAGCAACAGCACCCCCCTTCCTTACATTTTTGCAGATCACAACTTTATGGACTGCTTATCCTGTCCTGTGAATATTCCCCTGTCTTTTAGTAATATTTACTGGGCTTATTGTAGTTTTTACATCATTTCCTTCAGAGAATTACTACAACTGAAAAAACACTTCCTTTTGACAGTTTTCCATAAAGCTGATGAACCTACTTTTTTTTTTAAATTTTTTATAACAGTTTATTTTTACATCATTTTGTACATTTCTTTTTTTTTCCCATCTCAATTGTGATCCCCGCGGGTTTCCCATCACCAAGTCACCCATATGTGATAACCTACTTTTAAGGGTTATCTGAGTACACTTTCAATTCCTTAAAAAAGACAGAAATCAGAACTGTGAGAGGGTTATCTTCGGATGAGAGTGTGTTGTGATTCCCCCCACCATCCTATGTCATAGACATGCTTCTCTGGGCTGCAGTGAAGTTTCTTTCACAGCACAGAGCAACTTCTCTGATGGACTGGCCATAACTTATGATGGTGATTTTGCATGTGCCCTGGTTTTCAGAGTTTTACTATTAGTATTACAATCTCACCATAACACAATGAGAACTTTTGGCTGACAGAGACAATGAATCAAGTTCATGGTATTAGTGTTTTAGCTACTCTGTTTTCAAATAGCTTTTTTTTTTAAAGATTTGTTTATTTATTCATATAGAACTGGGGTACAGGCCAGAGATGCGGAGGGTGAGAGGATTCACCAGAGATAGAGTGGGGAGCAGGACAGGCAGATCAACGAAGTACACTGCTGAGGGGAGCAGCGGGCGTGTCAGGAGAGGTCTGCTGCGCCATGTGGTCACCTCTGGGGCAGGCAGGAATTGAACTCATGCGTAAGTGGCTTAAGCTTCTTAGTGCAGTGCTTTAACCCGCTGCGCCACCAGGAAGGGCCCCTCAAATAGCTTTTTCCCCTGAGTACCTGGATAAAACAATATGGAAGGGACTGAACAGTAAAGATGTTTTCTCCTCTCAAAAGTGTATTCTCTAGTTGAGTAGCTGTCACCTTTTCTTCTGAGGACACTACAACACGTGTTATTAGCAATTGCCGTTAATAAAAGGAAGTGAGTCAATTCCTGGTAGTGTGAAGACAATTCCTCAACCCCCAGGTTTCTGAATCTTTGGCAAAAAGCAAACCACCTAGGGAACATAAAACTGTAATGAAGAGTACAGGCACATTTAAGAAATGGGAAATTTAGAGGCAGATACAACGTAAGAGTTTTAGGAACAATTCTATAAAATGCAGTCATCTTTACCCTTAATGATCTGCAACAAAAAAGTCCAAAAAAGAACAGGTTAGAAGTGGGAAATAGGGAGAAGGGCAATGAGGGGGTATGCTGGGGAACCATAGGGACTGGGATGGGCAGTGCAATTGTGGTGGGTAAAGAATCTTGGGTGAGGACCCACAGTCAGGCCAATCCATTTCATGTTGGGGTGCCAACCCTGTAACATAAGATCTGAAACTTACTTTTTTCCCCCTGCGTTCTAAACTGTGATTTGTCAACTGTAAAATTGTAAACCCAATATTTTAACAGCAGTGTATGTGACTTCCTATATGCATAAACAGGATGGCTAAATAGTATGTGAATTCTTGGACATAATAAATTTTATTATATATACGCACCATATGGAAAAAAGCCATCATAAACATTCAACATTAACTATCTTTCATTGAACTCTGTTAGGGAGATACTATTATAAACAATGTTTTATAGATAAGGAAAATGAATTTTAACCTAAGTATTGGACTTTAAAAATCATTGTCTTAACATATATGCCTTCTTTAATGGTTGTTAAACAATTTACATAAGAAAGCATAATCTGCATCTTCCTCCTGCATTTGTAGACTTAATTTGTATTTACAGTAAATCTCTTGCTGTCAGCTGTCTTAGGTAGATGCGTCCCTTTGGATTATCTGTCAGCCTCGGCATTACCTTTAATGCCCAGAAGTACCAAGTTTGCAAGATTGAGCATTAGCTCTGACCTTTATAGGACACTCCAACACAGGGCTGAAATTGTGCCCTGAGACACTATTCAGGTTTCTCTACTCTTAAACAGGGCTCCCAAGTGATACCTCCCTCATTGGGAGTTTGATTTATCTTGGAGAACTTAAAGAAAACTATTTGCCTCAAAATCACTTATTCTGTTGCATCATGAGATTCTATCCAATGCCAATGCTTTGTACCTTCAATAGCCAACCCAGCTGACACCCAGCTGACAGGGCCTGTTCTAACTTATCTAGCAGTTTAGTCTGGAATAGCACTGTGGCCTTTGCAGTAATGGTACCCTCAGGACAGGATCTGACATCTACATTCTTCTCTATTGCCACAACTATGAATTTATCTTGTGAGATACAAACTAGTTCAATATAAATGAGCATTTTTTTCTTAAAGATTTATTTTATTTAGAACTAGGGTGTAGGTCAGAGGTGTGGAGGTGAGAGAATTCACCAAAGTGGGGAGCAGAACAGGTGGCTTTACTGAAATAAAATGCTGAAGGGAGCAGTGGGTGAGACAGGAGAGGTCTGCTCTGCCATGTGGGTTTCCTGGTTGGGAATCAAACTCTTGAGGCAGTGGCTGGCGTTAGCTTAATAGCACTAAGACTTAATCCCTGTGCCACAAGGAAGGCCTATAAATGACATTCTTTGTTTTATACTTATATAATACATCATAAAGTTTCATGTATATATATTATATATTTATAGTTTACTAGGGATTTATGTGTAATATAAAATTTTCAATGATGTATATAAATATGTCTTTCAGAATTAAAAGTGCAAGAAACATGTCACATAAAAGAAAAACTGGTGGGCTCTCCCTGGTGGCGCAATAGGTTAAAGCACCGTATTATGAAGCTCTCTGAAGCCAATGCAGCGCGAGTTCGATCCCCAGCCAGCGAGCTGCCCACATGGTGTGGCAGACCTCTTCTTACCCACTCCCTATTCCCCTCAGCAGTGTATTTTGTCAATCTGCCTGTTCTGCTCCCCACTCTGTCTCTTACCCACCACACCTCTGGCCTGTACCCCAGCTCTGTAAACATAAATAAATAAATCTTTTTATAAAAAGAAAAAGAAAAGAAAAAAAAAAGAAAGACTGGTAATGTTCAGAGCACTGAGCGATGAAAAAGAGCAGTTTTTAAGATTTCAGTTGATTCTAGTGCAAGGTGAGCAATTAGGGCCTAATTACTTCCTCGAATCTCAAATTTCTTTGTAAAATGGAGATAGTATTTAAGACATAACACACAGCTGTTATGAAAATTGTGAGTAAAGTTCTTCTGCTTGCAGACAGAAAATGTTGAAAACTATTAGCCAGTAAGATTATTAAAATGGGGATGATATATACTTCCTATTAAGATGCCACACAAAATGCCTAATTAACAGATGTTTACACTTAGTTCACATTGGATCTGTTGTACCATTATTTTTGGTTATCTGCAAGGAGGAAAAATTACTCTGTTACATTTTATGGGATAAGAAGTTAGATCCCAATTTTTGATGTTAACTGTAAAAAATTTCACACTAGATTCAAAATACTGTTTCCCTTTTTCTTTCATACTATTTAACAATAAGTGAGGAGTCTACACTAAAATCTGGAATAATTTTTAAATCTTTATCCTCCAAAGAAGACCCTATAGGGTCTCCTCTTGGGCCCAAGGGATTAACTATATGTTATTAAATCTTTAAGTCATTTTCATACTCTTTAACACAGTTCTCCATTATTTTCTCCATCTCCATGTGAACTGAATTGATAAATGAATATAAATGGATATTAGTAAGAAAATTACTTCCAAGTTAAGACTTTTGACCTTATATTTAAATTTAGTACCATTTAATGACACATATGTATGCCCTTAGAATTAATGGCCTAATGATATGATCAGGCACTTCACATGAACAAAAATTAATAAAGATTGGGAAGAAATCAAATTGAAGAACAAGCAAGTTTTCTGGAACAAGTTTGTGTCAAAGGTGAGGGCAATAGTATGAGGGCGGAGAACAGTTAAACCTTCCTAAATATGTACCTGTTCTTCAAATATCAGGTACACTATTTCCTCAGTCTCACCCAACAAGTATTAAGATTGCCAATATTGGCTTTTTATTTGGATAAATATAATAATGGCAGAAAAAAAGTAATACTCTAAAGCAGAAATCAAACATACAAACACGTTTTTCTTCATTCTATTTATTTCACTTTGGACATTAAGTCGACATTAACTAGGGCATCTGAAAGTCATTTCAAGTAGACATCTCTTTAGTCCTACATCAGTTACTTGAAGTATTTTGGTCTCAAATACATCCCTTTCTTCTACAAACTTCTGAAAATCATGAACGCCCCCACCTACTCCAAAATAATGTGCTTTACTGGCCAAAAGCACCCGTCCATTTTTCTCTAACAATTGAAGGAATGTTTGGTGCAAAGTGTCATAATAATCTGGATTGTAAATGGTTTCTGAGGTTAGAATGAGATCATACTTTTCAAATAGCTTTTCACTACTTAGTATAAGCTTACAAAATTCAGACCATTCTCCAGAAAAGAATCGGCACTGACACAGTTCTTGTGTTATTTTTGATTTTTTACATTTTTTTGCTTCTGGTTGGTTTACATTTTCTACATCTTCCAAAACAGAGTTAGCTATTACATTAGGTAAGGTTACTTCATCAATCACCAAACTGTTATAATCTTGGAAATGAATTTCTTTTGCCCCTTCCCTGAATGCAATTATACCCAATAACCCTGCCCCACAGCCAAGATCCAGCACTTTTTTCCCAGCAAATTCCACACTGGCCTTTATCAAATAAGCTAACAGGTCAAAGGTGCATTCCCAGATTTTCAAGCCTCCTTCATAAACACCTGTAATCAGATCAGAGTGAGAAGAAAAGCTTTTTGAAACTATATTTTCTTCACCAGGGAAGTTCTCTTTCAACAGGTTGGTTTTCACCACTGATAGAATTATATTCTGGTGAACTGGTAATGCTTCCATGACTTTATTTTCTAACACTTTCTTTAAATCTTTAGGCACAGAGTGTTCTTTAGCCATTCTCAAACAGGGCTGTTCTTCAGGTAGCTCCAAGTTAACTGAAATGTTAGCAGCACTGAATGTACTGTCTGTGTCTTGAGTGGAAGCTGTATTTGTTGCTGACTTGGGTTCCCCCAAGTGATCCAGAGGCAAGTCAAAATGTCCTGGTGAGCACTTTCTGTCATTGAAAAAGGTCTCTTTACCTTTTTGAGTTTCTAAGCCTGGAGAAGAATCTTTTGAGGAATCCAGGGCCAATGCTGCATCTCTAAGGTGTGTTAATTCACTTCCCAGATGGTCTTCTATAGTGAAATTAAATTGAAAGGCCATCCTCAAATGTACACAATTCTCAAATTCAAAGGAAGGTATGTGAACTTCTGGATAGAAGTAGTGACTCACACATAAAACTGCCTCAATTGTTCAACTGTTTTTGTTGGATTCAAGTTTTCTTTAGCTGCTTATGTTAGACATATTTAGAGGTATTTCCAAATGTTTTTTTAAAAGTCTTTGTTCTTCTTTCAGTTTAACTCTGTGTGGGGAAATAAAGTAAAATTATTATTAAAAAGCAATTTGAGGGTCTCCCTAGTGATGCAAAGGGTTAAGTGGCAGCACTATGAAGCTATATGCAGCCACTGCAACAGGAATTCCATCCCCAGCCAGGAAACTGACCCACTGGTACAGCAGACTTCTCCTGTCTCATCTACTACTCTCCTCAGCAGTGTATTTCAGTAGGTCTGCCTTTTCTACTCCCCACTGTTTCTGGTGAATCCTCTCAGCACCCCTCACCTTTAGCCCACACTCCAGCTCTTGTATGCATAAGTAAAAAAAATCTTAAAAAAAAGCAAATCGACAATTTCACTTAAACATATTAACAGCCCCTCTCTCCCCAAATAACTAAATTTTCTATAAAAGTTATGAAGGGGGAAATTAAAAGAATTGGAAAAACACCCCCCATCACAGGTACTTCAGGTTTCAAAAGTTGGAAACGTGAAAAAAAACTGAAACCAAACCTGAAGCAATAATAAGGGAGGAGGGGTGGGGGGTGGGGGGTGAGGTGGGGGTTTGAGGAGGGGCAGGGAGAAAAGAGCAGTCCAGAAGTGTACAGCAGGAAATGGCAAACTTAGCTATTTGACTTGTCACCTACCACGACCCTGCCCAAATATTATTTACCTTTAAACTGCTAGACTCTCACTTAAGTTAATCACCCTCTCAATAACAGAAATACAAGATTTTCATAAATGAATATCTGTTATAAAAACATGCACAGGACCGGATGGTTTCGCTCATAGCAGGAGTATAATGGACCAGGCGAGAAAATAATAATAATGAACAGCCATATACCAGAGACATTTTGTGGGGGTGGAGTGGGGAATGGGATAAAAAACGGGGGGTTGGCGGGGAAGGAAATGCACGGGATTATGGTGATGGCACACGGGTGACTCGGTGATGGGAAACCCACAGGGATTACAATTGAGATAAAAAAAAAAAAGTACAAAATGATGTAAAAATAAACTATTACATGATTAAAAAAAAAACACGCACAGGGACGTTCTAGTGTGTGTAAATCCATCCAAGTGACCTTACTAAAGTATTTTGTGGAGACAGATAGAAATGAGTGTATGGGAGTGGGGAATTTGGAGTAATCAGCAAAGATCAGATTGATGGCCGAACACAAATAAAAGCAACCAAGTGTTTTTTGAGAGACCTGTAGAAACCGACTTTCCTGAAAGTCTTCTATTACCTATTATGCTAGAAGTTCAAAATATGCCATTTACTTCAACTGGCACAGCAATATGGCAGGTGCGGAGCGGTGTCTTTCTTCCCATTATGCGAGATGGGAGGAACAGAACACATTTCAGTGGGTAGGAATCTGCCAGTTTCTACGTCACTGAATCAATCGCTGGCCTGTGAGTCCCAGGTTGCTGGTCAAACCTCACCCCACACGAGCAATCCCGAAGCCCGAGGGAAGTGGGGGGGGGGGTTGGAAACCTGGGAACCTTTAGCCTTCATCTCCCCAAAGCGCGCTACCTAAAAGCAACTATATTCTGATCCACACCTGGCAATACTCAATGTCCGCGTGCCCCCAGCTCCTCCAGTGTAGAATCTCGTCGCCACGTCATGACGTATGCCGGACTGAAAGTGCGCATCAGTGAGTCGAATCCTCCGCGGGCCAGACAAGCCCGGTTGTCTCCCTGGCTCGGCCCGGGCGGAGGTTTATATACAAAGAACGCAGCCGCTTCTTCTCTATGGTTTTGGTGTCCGCCGAGAGTTCGCAAGGCCTGCCGGGACGGTGGGCGTTCCCGGCCTCGGCCGTGGCGGGAGAGATTTGAAGCAGAGCGTACTCGGTGGAAGCATGTCTCAGGAAAGGGAGTCCCGGTCCAGCACGGTGCCCCTGGAAGAAATAAGTGGCTGGCCGGAGGAGCTCTGCCGCCGGGAACTGCCTTCTGTTTTGCCCCGTCTTCTTATATCCTTCGTAATCACTTCACCTATAAAGAGAGCGGGTGGGTTCTGAAGTGTCTGTTCGCCGCCGCCGGGCCGTGCAGTGTTCTTGCTGCTCAGATTTTTTTTTGTTAATGAGCGAAGTGACTAAGCCAGGGCCTGGAAGGCGAAAGTGAGCAGTGGGTGACAAGGTCGAAGGCATGCTTGGGTTTTGCACAGGAAAGGCTGACAGGTGTTTTATCCGGTGACTTTGGAATTGGATGTGGCTTTTTCCATTTATGCCTTTGAATTTTTCTGTACTCCCTATGTGCAACTAAGTACTTTGCATGGGGGTAGTGGGGAAGACAGGGACTCAGACAAAACTCTGAAATAACACTTAGAGAACTCTAAATTGCTAGTTGAGGTGACGAGACGGATACTTGAGCTTTTGTTATCTCTAAAATATGTGGTGAATACGAATAATACCATTTTCAGTGTTGTGACAGTCAAAGGATGTAGTTCTGTTACGTTACCATGTCTGTAAAAGATGTTCAGTAATTAAGAATCTACTTCCCATCTTCATTTTTGAACCCCTGTTTCTCTATTGGTGATTTCTTTCGTTACTGGCTTTCATTTGCCGGGTTTGAGTTGCTTAATGCCTGCGTTGTCCAGGTGTAAACCATTCCTGTAGGTGTGCCAGGAGTTCTAGGTTAAAAGGTGATTGTTATGTGAATGTAAATGTGCCAGGAGTTCAGGAATTCTAGGTTAAAAAGTGATTGGTTTTTTTTCCCCCACCCTTGAGCTCACTTTCAGCATTAAGTTACGCCTAGTAGAAAAAGTAACGTTCATTTGAGACTCGCAACACTGCAGATTATAATTATACAATTTAAGTCAAATATACATGTAAACCATTGATACTTGAACTCAGGTCTGGCTGTCACTTGCAACTATACCATTAGGGACAGGGCCTTCCTTGGTGGTGTAGTGGGTTAAAGCACCGCACTATGGAACTATTCGCAGCCACTGCAGCAAGAATTCCATCCCTGGCCAGAGGAGTGACCCACATGGTGTGGCAGACCTCTCCTGACCAGCAGCTGTTCCCCTCAGCAGTGTACTTCAGTAGATCTGCCTATTGTGTTCCTGGCTCTGTCTGTGGTGAGTCCTCTCACCCACCGGCCTCGCACCTCTGGTCTGTACCCCAGTTCTTGTGTGCATAAATAAATATTAAAAAAAAAAAAAGGACAAGGCAGCTACTGTAATCCCAGGAGATGGCTGAACTCCTGTCCCAATAAACTAAATCCTGAATTAAGAGAGGGAATGAGGTTATATGGGTTTTGAGAACAAGGGTTGAGAACAAAGTAGTTACAGTTTGCTGACTGAAAGTGGGTTGGGGCCAAGAAACATGGACTTATCTGAAGTTCATTGGCTAGTTACAGGGAACTTGATGCATGAAGTAAGAAGCTTTCCTTCAGATAACTAGTGAATTTGTACTTCCCTCTTCCTCTGGGATCTCAGTAGTAGCCAGCAGGTCTTGGAGTTCAGCGCAAGGTTGGTTATAAGCCTTCAGACTTATGTCTGTAAAAGCAAGTCTTAGGAAAAGTTTAGATAAGTTTCCCCCTCCCCACCCCCCCTTTTTTTTTTAAGTGTCTGAATGCAGTTTAACCCTTTAGGCTTCAAACTTAACATTCCAGAGTTCCCAGTTTTTCATCTAAATAATTTCACAAACCAAAATCTTGAGCCCTTTACCTCATACCCAATCAGCAAATCTTTTTTCTAACTTCAAAATATTTTGAAGTCTTTTTATCTCCATCCCCATTGCTACCACTCTATTATAAAACCCTGCTACTTCTCACCTATTACTAACAGTTTCTTTGCTTTTACTCATATCCTAGTTCTCCCATCCTCACCTGCATCCCATTATTAAGCTCTTGGTTCAGGTGTCATCACAATAGGAAACTTTGGAGCCCATAACAACTTTTAGTTTTCTAAGGAGTACTTTAATACGAAATGGTCTTGTTTGCTTTATTTTTCACTTTACTGCACTGCCCAGTTCATCAAGTCAGAAGTTTCGGTTTTAGTGAAACAGTATCTGGCACACTAGCATCCAGTAGAGGGCTAAAAAAAGGTGTCTTTAAAATATCTCATTAGACAATATTTATTCCAGCCTTTGGTAGTATTAAATCTTCCATAGTATTCCAACAGTTGGAAGAGGTATTTGTAATAAGTCTACAATTCCATTACTAAAACATTCTCATGCTTTACATTTTGCAAATTTTCAGTCTTCTCTACATAATTATAGCTTAAATATTTTATTTTGAAAGAAACTAAATTTTCAGAGGCAAAATCTGTCTTACTGGACTCAATGATTCTAATTTTGATTACTGCTATAAAAATATGTGAAGAGCTCAGAAAAATTTCTGTTAGTGTAATGGAGTTAAGGGTTATTCATTATTCTTATTGACACATTCTTTAGTCAATTCTATATTGTTTTTACAGTAAAACATTTCTAACAATTCTTGATGTTACACAATTATGTGATTTATAAAGTGACACCTGTTAATTTTGCAATAAACATGTCACATATTTGTTTTTTTAAAGATTTATTTATTTTATACATAAAAGAACTGGGGTACAGGCCAGAGGCATTGGGGGTGGGGGGTCAAGGTGAGAGGATTCACCAGAGACAGAGTAGGGAGAAAAACAGGCAGATAGACTGAAAGACACTGTTGAGAGAGCAGTGGGTTGGACAGGAGAGGTCTGCCTCGACATGTGGGTCACTTCCCTGGCGGGCGATTGAATTCTGGCTGCAGTGGCTACAGATAGCTTCATAATCTCTGCTTTAACCTGTTGTGCCATCTAGGAGGGCCCTATTGTCACATATTTGTAAGCTGCAGTGCAAAAGACTTTCAGTCAAATAAAATTGGTAGGAAAGGAAAGGTATGTAAATAATATGAAAAGAAGTTAGAAAGTGGTGAATGACTTCAGATAGGTTCATGGCACTAAAAAATGCAAAAGAAGTTTCTTCCTTGTATTAAAAGTCAGAAATTCATGGGTGATCATAATGTTTTTTTCTCATCTGTCAAAAACATTTCTTTACAGCATTTCAAGTATTATTTGCTTGCCTAGTAGAAACAAATTTAATTTTTTATGGTTTCATTTATTTCCCACCACCATCCTGTATGTCCCTTTGTTCCTTCTCTTTCCCCTCCCTTAACATAGCTAAGAGCCCTTATTCTAAGCTTAATGAATATCCTAAAGCTATGTGAATTTCCTAAAAATATGATACTGATGTTTTCCTTGATTATTTTACTCTATGAATCAACATTCTGATGATTGGATTGAGCATATTCGTAAGTAACCTTCATTATATTATTTACTTAGATGTTATTGTCCTAGTTATACATATCTTACTACAAATTTATGTATCTTCAAATTTATTTTTTCCTATTGTAGTGTTACAGTCTAATTGTCAGTTACTTGAAATACTCAAATTCCTTCAGCTTACTGTGTTAAAATTTCTTATTCCATTATAGAAAAATTTTGTTTGATAACATGTAGAAGCACATTGTAATATTAAATATTAAACCATAGTTAGACTTCTATAAAGCATAATTTGCACTTTACTTAATAACTTAATCCCTGACACTTTTTTATTTCAATCATTATTTTTTAATGTGACTTTGTATATTAACTATTTATTTAAAAGTATTGTTTTGCATCATTCATTTTTGTACAATGTATGTTTTTTTCAGCTTGGTTGTAATCCCCATGGACTTCCTACCACCAGTTCATGCAT